GTGTGTGTATGTGGGCAGTTTTTGTGGGGCAGTGTGTGTAGTGTATATGGGGGCAGTGTTTGTGGGTCAGTGTGTGTAGTGTGTGTATGGGGGCAGTGTTTGTGGGGCGGTGTGTGTAGTGTGTGTATGGGGGCAGTGTTTGTGGGGCAGTGTGTGTAGTGTGTGTATGGGGCAGTGTTTGTGGGGCAGTGTGTATATGGGGCAGTGTGTGTAGTGTGTGTATGGGGGCAGTATTTGTATGGGAAGGCATATATGTTGTGTGTGGGGGCAGTGTGTGTGTATGGGGGCATTGTATGTGTGTGTGTGTGGGGCAGTGTGTGTATAGGGGGCACTGTGTGTGTGTGTGTGTGGGGGAGCACTATATGTGTGTGTGTGTGGGGCAGTGTGTATGGGGAGCACTGTATGTGTGTCTGTGGGGCAGTGTGTGTATGGGGAGCACTGTATGTGTGTGTGTATGTGTGTGTGTGGGGCAGTGTGTGTATGGAGGGCACTGTATGTGTGTGTGTGGGGCAATGTGTCTATGGGTGTGCAGTGTGTGTATGGGGGGGGGAAGGTGGGTAGGGAGGCTTTTTAATAAAAAAATGTTTTAATTTTTATTTTAAAAAAATATATATATTTATGTCCCTTTACTGAGGGAAGAGGGGGGACATATTTCGATCCCTGGTGGTCAGTGGGGATTCCCTGGTGGTCCCAGTGGTTAGAGTGAACTCTAGCCCGTACCTGCAGGGCTAGAGTTCACTCTCGCGAGATTTGGAGCGTTGCCGTGGTAACCGCGGCCACACTCCATGCTCGCGAGAGAAGGACCCATAAGAGCTGCAGGTAAGAGCTCCCGGGTCCTCTCTCCCTCCCTCCCCCCGCCGGCTGCCAGCACTGTGCCTGCGGAATGGGGAGGGAGAACTCTGATCTCCCTCCCCGGTCCGCAGGCACATTGCAGGGCTGGCACTTGGACAATGCCAGCCCTGCATTACCCGGCAGGGGAGAATCTCGGGGGGGGCAATTGCCTTTGCCCCGGATCCGCCGCTGTTACCGGGTGACCACGAGGGAGAAAACTCTCAGCTCCATTTCTGTGCCATTACAACCTGGCTCATGGATTTCTTGAGCACTGTCCCAAAAAAAATGTGGTCTTTGAGGGAAAGCAATTGGAGGACCAGGTTTTACTGACATATCTCACCTAATTTTTGGTCCTGGTGCAGACTTTTTACGATTTGCATAAAAAAATTATCTTCAGAATCATCTGCTTTTCATTGCATCTTTAAATCCTGTGCAGCTTTGCAATGGAGCCCAGGTTCTCTCTAACTAAACATGCAATGGGGTATTACCGATTAGATGTTGTCTTTTTGGTATTACCACTGCTTGGTCTGCCTGGGCAGCAGTGTAACAGCTCAGCAGTGGAAATGTACTGGACAGCCATTTTAGGCAGCCATGACCCAGGAATGATCTCTAACAGCCATCTAAGGAGGGGCCAGTGAAGTTATCACTAGGCTGTAATGTAAACACTGCATTTCCTCTGAAAAGACAGTGTTTACAGCAAAAAGCCTGAAGGTAATGATTCTATTCACCAGAACAAATTCAATAAGCTGTAGTTGTTTTGGTGACTATAGTGAAGCCCTTAATGTAAAAAAATAATCGTGCATGGGGTAACTAACCCCACGTTATCTTGTTAAAATCTTAAATTTGTGGTAGATATAAAAGATAATAATAAAGACAATATAGTGCAGATGGTTTTTAAAAGTGAACTAAATAAAGTCTTAAAAAGTAGGATCACTCACATTTAAAGGAGCCTATATATGTATATTGGCCTGTAACTTGGCTTTTATGCTTTTAGAGCAGCACCACATCTCTCGTCCACTTTAAAGTTCTCTTGGAGAAAAACTAAAGGAAGAAAGGGAAGCAATGTGTAGACTGTCAAAAAGGAAAATAATAAAAAGTGGAATAGGTATAGTGCTCACCTTTTACAGAGCCTTAAAGATGAAGATTCGGAAGGCTCCAATGGACTTTTTTAAAAAATGAAAAAAGTTTATTGAATAATTAAATTTAAACGTAAGTAATACAATATGAAATAAATTATAAAAGTCCTGAATATAGCCAAAAAGCATTTCACTCTTGCAGAGCTTCTTCAGTCGCGTTTTGGATATATTGTACACCTTTAGAATAAGTGTTCAGCAAATTTCCCTTTGTCATGCCTATCCTGCTATAGGTCTTGAAATTTATAAAGCAAGACCAAAAATAGCTCGTCTGTTCCTTTTGAATGGAATTTTTTTTTTGTGTGTTGGTAATTCGGTGTTTATTAATTATGGTTCAAAGTAACAAAATAACCAGAAAACAAAGGTGCACCGTGATAATGAAAAATGAAATATGTCATACGACATACAACATACGACATGACATATGTGATACGAAAACAGGGTACCAGACATAAAAAGGCCTGGAGATTCTAAAAGGGATTATATGAAAATAATTTTACGATTAATAATAAAATGTACAAAAGAATCCTTGAGTGTAGACAAAGTGGGCTGTCCGAGATTTTCTAATTACTACAAAATGTTTTGGTGTCATTTTCCTATGTATTTTCCCCCTGTATTTATAAACTTTGCTTGTTTGCTCTTACAGAAAATAGGAGGCTGCAATGTGATGCTGTGCACTCATTGTAAGGTATATTTCTGTTGGTGCTGTCTGGTTATACTGAAAGTTGATGACCGAAACATGCATGCATGCTTATGTAAGTAAACAGCTAAGATTGTATAACAATATAAAACAATCCATGAAAGAGTAATTTACCAATAATATGCTCAAGCTAATTAAAGCATAGGGGTTAAAGTCGCACTGAGACCACTGAGCATAAAATAATATTTCCATAGAAAGTATTTTATGTACATACCGTTTTTCTGGCACTGCAGGTCCCCTCTCCCTCCCACCCCCCATCCCATGTTGCTGAAGGGGTTCTTCAGGGTCCGCCCACACGGAGACCTATTGAGCATGTGCGGCCGGCGGCAGGGGAGACCTAATGCGCATGCGCAGCCGCGCACTTGCATTAGACCTCCCCATAGGAAAGCATTGAATAATGCATGGCTCCTCATACTCCGGCCCCCCAGATGTTGCTGAACTACAACTCCCATGATTCTTTGAGTTATATAGATAGCCAGAGAATCATGGGAGTTGTAGTTCAACAACATCTGGGGGGGCCGGAGTTTGAGAACCCATGGAATAATGCTTCACATAGCGTGAGGACGTCCAGCAACGTTATAGCACACTTTCCGTGTTCTATGAAGTAGACAGCCACTAGAGGAGGACTTAAACCTGCAATGTAAATATTGCAGTTTATGAAAACTGCAATAATTACACTTGCGGGGTTAAGGGTAGTGGGAGTTGGCACCCAGACCACTTCAATGGGCAGATTCTTCAAAGAACCTACCAGTTATAAAAAGGGCAAGTATCTTATTAACTTAGTATCTAATAAGTGACTAATATTCAAATACATGTCTTTTCTGGTACTAAATTAGGAAATATATTGAACCACTTAATTTTTTGTGTTTTTTTTATGTGGTTCATCAGGAAAAAATCTGCATTAGTGTTGTAGTAGTATACCTAGCACCTGGTGATGTCTGAAACTCTGTTAAGATAGAATAAACAAAATGTTTTGATTTTTGCAACAACTCTTGTGGGTGCTAATATTTTTGGGATACTGATCAGGCACAACATGAAAACCATTCACAGGTGAAGTGAATAACATTGATTATATTGTTACAATGGCACCTTTTAAGTTGTGGAATATATATTGCAGCAAGTGAAAATTCAGTTCTTGAATTCCATGTGTTGGTATAAGCAGGAAAAATGGGAAAGCAAAAGAATCTCAATACGTTTGCAAAGGGAAAAATAGTGATGGCTAGATCAGAGCAATTCCAATATGGCAAGTCTTGTGGGGTGTTCCTGGCAAGCAGTAGCTAGTACCACCCAAAAGTTGTGCAAGGTAGGACAACC